TCTATTCCTGTTTTCTTGGTAGAATTTGCATGTTTAATATGATTCAAAGTTCCAACTGCCTTGTTTGTTCACGTGAGTGCATTTACAGCCACACAAAACCCTGACAGTGGGAGGTGCTGTAGGTGGAACTGTACCTCAGTTTTCCCACAACATTGTGGTGTCTCCGTGGTAATAATATCCACACGCTACAGTACGTGACTCCACTCTATACCTCATGAGTACATGTGAGACCAGGCTACCAAACACAGAAGAGTTTGATTCTGTTTCATTCTCTGCTCATTTCTGTCATTTCACAAAATGCCTTGGGGGGTATGGGGAGATCAAAGGAAGAACGTAGATTCTCCTTTCTTGCTTTGTGCACCTTGATCAAGTAGCAGTGGGAAAGCAGTGTGTGATGTATATCAAATTGTTCAATGCCTCATCTCACAGAATCTGAAGCTAATTGTTATAATCAGTATTTTAATATTCTCTCACGTTAAAGCTCCTTCATAAAGGTTTGCAGGAGAGGGATTGGCCACCCAGCCGCACTGAATTACCCTAGTTTCTCTGGGGTGTTGTGTCACAGTTTTAGTGTACCCCAAGGCTGCCTATTTTTGTATGGCAGCTCTCTGTGGTTCCACCACTTTGATGTTCACCCAGTGTGACTGGTCAAAGAGCTCCAGCCCCTGATCTGCTAGGTCAAGATTTCAATACCTTGCTCTTTGCCTGTGTCCTCATCTCCTGCATTCAAGAGTTTATTTTGCTCGATCAGATGGTTGCTTCTTTTGTGGACTTTTTTCACTGGGAATTCAGTTCTGCTCTGTGCTTGTACCCCACCACAAATCCATCACAGTTACATATCTGAATACCACCATGGCAGCCATCACCACTGTGAGCCTTCACTGAGGATAAGTGTAGATTTTCCAGTTCTGTTTTTATGTACAGTATTGTCAAGCTTTTAAAACTGTAATTAACCTTTAAGTCACATTCATTTTTTCACCCCATATACGGGGATGTCTACAAACAGAAAAAGAGGAATCCTGGGTCATTTCAAACAAAATCTGTTGATAATGCTATTGATTAATTACTGTATGTAGGGTCTTGAGGAGAACACCTGAATCTTTTCTTTTCCTCCTGTCTGCACCTCCAATACTAAATAAAAGTTAGAGCAATTGGGCAAAAATGATAGAATTAAGCCCCAATTACAATACCATGTGTCTTAAAAGATAGGTAGATCAGGACAAAGTTTAAAAAATAACTGTTGAATCATAGCGATTATCATTGATTTACCCATATCTTCATGCAAGGTAACAGTGAAAAGTTAAATGAAATTACCCAACAAAAGTCGCCGTTTCACAGGTAACTAAATACAAAAGGATACAAAAGGTGATTTAATTAACCAGGCAACACGATGACTCCGTGGTTAGCATTGCTGCCTTGCAGCTCAGGGGGCCTGGGTTGAATTTTTATTTGTTGGATGTTCTTCCTGTGTTTGTGTGGGTTTACTCACACAGTCCATAGACGTACTGTTAAGTTAATTATAGGAGAATTAGCTCTAGTATGAGTCTGTACGTATCTGTGGGTGCCCCGCGATGGGCTGGCATCCTGCCCTGGTGGTACCCTGCCTTGCACCCTCTGCTTGCCTGGATATACTCTGGTTTCCTTGCAACACTGTATTAGCTAACAACAGTATATCTTATTACTAAAGTACCTTTCCAAATCCAGGGACACTTTACACTAGCATGCTAGCTAAAGAAAAAGACAAAAAAAAGTACAAGAAAAGTAAAAGAAAGAAATAAGAAAAACTAAAAGAAAAAAGTAAATTAAGAGTTTACAGGCTTATACAGATACAGTAGAATGTAGTTTTGGATTTGAAGAGGGTGAAATAATTTGTCACGATTACCAAATATCCGAGATTTAGTGCTGGATACATTAAGCAAAGGACCCGTCTCAACTGACCAGAGCCTACGGAAGGGAGTGTTAACATAGAGTAGGTCAGAGATGTAAGATGGAGCCGGATTGTTTGGAACCTTGAAAGTCAGTAACAGGATCTTATTAAGAATACGTGACTTTATACTGCAGGTAACCACTATAGAGACTTACAGTACAGTAAGTGTAGGAGTAATATGCTGCTAAGGTCTAGTATGAGTTAAAAGTCTAGCTGCAGAGTTTTGGTCATACTGTATTGCAACTTGGGAAGAGAGTTAGGGAGCCCATAAAGTAAAGAGTTGGAGAAATCAAGCCTTGATGCTAAAAAATGCACAAATCAAGCACTTAGAATCAGATGTTGATAGGAGTTGCCTAAAGCAGGCAATATTTCTGAGGCTCAAAAGGCAGGAGACGATCAAGTGTGACTTCTAGATTCCTAACTACAGCTGACATTTGAATGGAGAAGCCACCCACCATTACTGTGAAGCGCTCAAGTTTTTCCAATTGACATTTGTTACCCACTAGTGAAATTTCTATTTTTTCTAAATCCATTATTTAGCTTAATGGATGATGGATGGATTTAATCAACCAAAGGATTCTGTGAAACAACATTGGATATGATAGGCAAACTATGAATATAAACTATTAATACAAAAAAGACATACAGTATACAGCAGATAGAATGACAGCAATGTTTGGGTTTTTTTCCATTTTAGTTTTTTGTTTTGATGTGATGGTGAAGCTGCTGGATTCATTTTCCAGTTATTGCCAGTTACTACAGCAGAGCCCTATTAACTCTGTGGGTGGCCTTTAATGATTCATTTTTAAAATGGTGTCGGATTACATCATGTCTATGTCTCTAAATCTTATTGGCAGATGCTGTGTTCATCATATTGCATCATATTGCTTCATGCATATTTGACTTTTTCAAATACTGTGTCATGTCTTTAATAATGCTTTAAAAATAATACAAAAAGGGGTATACTGTAAAGTGTATGGACAGTTGGATCTGTTGTATTATTTAGTATGTTCTGAAGAGAAATTGGCACAAGCCCAGTTTGTGTCAAAGGAATTCTCATCATCATCACTTAAACAATGGAGCATTTATCTATTATGATAAGAGAATGATCGTGTACTTTTGGTTGCATACTGAGCAGTTCATTAATATATTCCAAATTTGCTTAACATAGTTTTTAACACTTCATCCTGATGTGAAGAAACGGCTTGAACACTGACATTGAACGTTTAGATAGAATTTTGAGTCAAGTACAACTCTGCACCCTTCCATGTGTTCTTGAACTAATGCTATTTATTCCTTTTACTTGTAAAACGCTGTCTTCCCTTTGTTTTTTCAAAAAAAAAAACTGCAGCTGATACCCATATTTAGAGATGGTCAATCAGGAAATCGTGTCAGCTTTATTAAAGTTATTGGGACATCCTAACTGTTGCTTCATCATCAAAGCCAGATTTGTTTATTTTTTAAAATATATAGTTTATCATGGGTGGCACGGTGGCGCAGTGGTTAGCACTGCTGCCCCGCATTGCTGGGGCCCTGAGTTTAATTCTGGACCTGGGGTGTTATCTGCATGGAGCTTGTACTCTGCCTGTGCTCTCTGGTTTCCCGCCAGACCAAAAATATAGTGAGTGTGTGTGTGTCTGTGTATCTGCCCTGCAGTGACTGATGTCCCATCTGGGTGCACCCTGCCTTGCTCCTGTTGCTTACTGGGATAGGCTCCGGCTTGATTTCCTGGTCAGGAAATTAAAGAATGGATGTCATTTCTCATCTTATTTATTATAAGGGAATATTGTGGCCCTGCTTAGCATTTTTTCATCTCTTTTTAAATTTTTTTAAGCTTCTCATGAGTGTTTGAAATGTTAAATAGCAATAAAGTACATGCACATCAATCATTTGTGTTAACTTAAAAAATGATTGTTTTTGCTTTACCTAATAGCAATTAAAAAAATGTTAGGCACTTAGCCATGACGAAGCTATTTAACAATACAGAAAAAAAGGTTGATTGGCCTACATTTTTTTAGCTATTAAGCTCTGAATATTTTGTAGGTCTCAACCTCAATGAACAGATTTCGATAGTGAAAGTGTTCAGAATACCGTAGTTAGTTTTGCAGAGGGGCAGTAGTCTGTACTTTACAGCAAGAGGTTTGGGGATGGAATGTGAGATCCTTTCTGAAGCCAGGGGCCCTGTAATACTTCATATACTGTTAGTAATTCCACAGTAATGTAGAATTTGTCAAAACATACGGCTGTAGCTGCACATTTGAGAACAATGTGCATTCAGTCAATTCAATCAAACATGCAGTAAAGAAGACAGATGTACAATTAGGTGTGGAAATGTAGCAGTGTTTTTAAGATAAATATCCAGCAAGCATCGGATTACTGTAGGTTTCTAATTCAGTTCTAATGTACTGTAGATAATAACTAAAACTACACCTCACAAACTAAAAGTTGTAAAGTTGGATCTTAAACACCCAAAGTGCAAGCACTAATGCTCTTTGACTCTTGAACAGTTCTGAAACAATACAACTTAAAATAAGAAGAAGATTTTTTAACCTGTTGCAAAAATGAAAAATTCTAATAAATATCCAAAGCCCTGCCATGTTTAATTTGGCAAAGTTCAACTGTGGATGATAAAATAAAACTCAAAACGCAAAATGGAGCAGACTGCAGCACATTTGCAATGGACTGTGTATCACACTGGGGTTTATTTTTACCACACCTTCCTAATGTTGAAATGTATACTCTTATATTGGAAGAAAAGGAATGCAGAAACAAACAGCAGTATGCTCACTCACTCTATGTGTCAGCTTTTCCCCCATTATAATGGTGTCTGTGCTTTTATTACACTTCATCAGTCCGTGGTGCTGCTGTGGAGGATCCTGGAGCCCTGTCACCTGTGTGACAGGCATCTTCCATCCATTATTATGGCTGAATAATTGATTAGCTATAGTAGTAATGTTGTTTGTTTGTTTTTGTTCGAGTGCCTAAGATGGGCAGGTTTTGCTCTGGCTGTGATTGGTCAGGCCAAACCCATGGAGTCTGTGGTTGCCGGGGCGACCATAATCACCTCTAATTCACAGCATCCAGCAAGCCAGGCAAACTGAGCGTGAGCCGTGGACTAGAGCGAGGGAGAGAGAGGGGATGGCACCGAGATAAAAGAAGGAGAGAAAGAAGACTGCTCTTCTACTCACCTTGACAAGCAAGTCCATGTCGGCGGCGGTGGATTTTTCTGCACCTAAGAAAAAGATTTAGAAACCAGACAAAAGAGGACCTGGAATCTTGAACAGCTCTGCTTTCCCTTCCTGCTGAGTGCGAAGAGATAGAAAGAAGTGAGCGGACCAAGATCTTCATCTCTGTTCAGCCACGATAATCACTTCAGAACCGTTTAGTCGTGGTAGAGAAAAACAGCACTCTGCTGCTCACCTTTTTACAGATGTGTTTATGCACATTTAATTTCAGAAAGAAAAGACAGGTGGATTAGTTGCTTTTTTGTCTCTGCGGATCCGCGATCAAGGATAGCACAGGTCTCTCACAGAAAGAGAAAGGGGAATTCAAACTCCGTGAAACCTTCAGCCCTGGGCACTTTTCTCAGGATTTATTTTTCCCCTCTTCATACTTGAGCCTGGCACGTGCCCTTGGGAAAACGCACTGGGCTGCCATTGGTGTGGCATCACGCCGCTACACCTTCACGCGGAGCTCCCTCCCTCAGCGAGGTGAAGTCCCCGCTTCACCCCGCTGTGAGACGACAAGAGGGTTTAGAATAAGAAGGCGGTTCTTCCCCCCCCCCCAAGCCAGGCTTTTGGCTTGCTTGAACAGACGGAGAAGACTTTAGCCCCTCGTCCTTTGACTCCCGTGCCTGGAGGGTTTGTGTGAGTGTAGAGGGGGGTGGGGTGGGGAAAGGCGGTGCACCAGCAGCATTGAGGAAGAGCTTGTGATCACTAATTGGTCTGTTCCCTTTTCTTTCGGGGTTTTGTTTACCTCCCAGCTGACGGACAGCCGAAGAAAAGAAAAACAAAAAGCAAGAACACCCGGCTCCCTGCCGTGCCCGCGGACAGGAACTAAACCCTGAAAAAGACTTGAAAAACCACAGAGAAAAGACTACTGGGTGCCTTCAGTGTCAGCTTTACAATTTTTTTTTCCTTTTCTTTGCATTGGTGGCAACTACCACCCTCAGCCCCTCGCAGAGCCCGCCTCAGCCACAGAGCTGTGGCCGACTAGAGGGTGGAGACGAACTCTCCGGGTTCACTAGCGCCTTACAGCTGGAACGAAACAAGTCCTCTTGAAAAAGCGAGCAGCATCCCAGACCGCAGCCACTCACCACGGCACGTGCTTGCTGTCCTGTGCTCCGTGAGGCGGCGGTGGCGGCGGTGGCGGTGGCGGTGGCGGCGGAGATTGGGCACGCCAAGGAGGGGAGTCCGGCCAAGATGAGTCAGTGCAGGAAGAGGTGTAAGAGACAGCTGACCAAAGTGGCTCGCTACTTCTACCGCTTCGTCACAGGCACGCTGTCCCAAGGTAGGAGGGGGTAGCTGGGCTCATCGGGGGTCTGACATCTGGACTCCTGTGGTGTCCTGAATTTGAATGGCTGTCAGCCTTTTAAAAGATCTGCATTGAGGGAACTAGTCCTCTTGGCAGAATCTATCAAGTTCTTCTTTTCTGTACTGGGCAGTGTAGTGCAACCCATTCCTAGTTTTTCTGCATTTCGTTTTGTGTGCTTCAGTTCCACTAGATCAAGTTAAAAGTAAATTGAGAGGAAAATCAGTGGCCTCTTAAATGTCTTCTTTTATCTGTAGCAAGTTTATTTTTAGGGTTAGGTTTAGACTTTCAGGGTAATGAGGGGCGCTGTGGGGCATGATCGGGCATTGTGCCGATGTCTTGAAGATGGGTTGAAGGTTTCACAGGCACTCTTTATAATACTTACTGAAGCCTCTACTGTCATGTACTGTAATTTGCACTAGATTCTTTTACAAGGTCTTTTTAAAGCCATATTTGTTCATATACTGTGTAAATATATATTCAAATTTATCTTACTCTTTGGCCTCTTAGGGAGCAAATGCATGCATTAAGAATAAAAAGCATAGTCCATTACACAACTGGTGTCTGTATTTTTTTGTGGTTACTCTCCGAGCCCTTTCAGAGTAGAGGGTGGGTGAATGATGCGAACAGTAGAATTATATGCAGTTATGAGAAAAAATTATGTAAAGAAATTATTAGGGAAAAAGTTGGGTTCTCTAATACTTTGAACTAGTTAAATGTACAGTTTTACCTAGAATGACAATTTTCAGTGCTTGGTAGCAGGTACTGTATCTAGTCTTCTGCAGCAGCTCTGAAAGAAGCTAATAGATTTGTTCTCCAAACCTTTCCTTTAGTCAGAGAATTTGCATTTTAATGTTTATTTAATAAAGCCTTAATTTTGTCATTTAAATATTCTCTCCAGTAGCTCCTTTCTATAGCTACTGTATGCAAACACACCATTTATCCAGTCTGTTTTTAGTAGGGCACAAGATAAAGAAAATGTTCTACTAAACAGAAAAAATGTCCTACTACCCCTTTCATGAATGATCTGTTATCACAACCTATATGAAGATTTAATTATAATGTGTTGGTTTTTGTCCTGTACATTATAACCTACAGTATTTTTTATCTTGCTTTTAGTAAGGTATACTTGTGCTTGACTGTGCCGTACTGTGTTTTGCAATGCTACATATGACTGCAGTTTGGGTGGTCCTAGTAAATGCTTGTAAAGACGGTGACACTTCTCTTATCGACATGTACTGGTATAAATCATGACATTGCCTGTCAAGTTTATTGAAGCACTTGGGAAACAAGGTGAATCACACAGTCAAAATAAAGACAAGGTGAATTACCAAAGTAAAAGTGGAAAATTTCTATGAATATCTACCACAGCAATTTTTTATATCAGAGTAATTCTGCACCATTTTTCAGCCAAGGTCTGTGAATTCACTGATGGTTTTAAAGCTTATGGGGCAATCTAACTGAAGATTTACAGCTGCAGCTGGCAGTTAAGATGTCATGACATTATTGAAAAGGAAATGTTTATGATTCATTTTCATCAAGGTTTACACTGTCTTTTGTATTGGTTTGATGACATTGTAAAAAAGAGTGCTGGTCTGTAGTTATATTTTCAGAACTTTGTATTTTGTACAAAATTGTTTTACAAAAACAAACATTTTGGCTTTACTGGTTTTATAATAAAGCCAAATTCCACCAAAAGAAATTGGAATTTGTAGCCTCCATATTCATATTTAGAATCATAGACTCTAACTGCAGAACAAAAAATGCTCTTAAGCTTTTAACTACACAGTTATCCAGTGCAGATCCAATTAAAAGAGCTCTTCTAAAAGAAGATAGAAACCTTGGATTCATTAAGTGATGTGGCTTTAGTCAATACAGCTTAATCCATTTTTAAGTCTGACCAGCTTTCTGACTAAAAATAAAGTTGTGCTTCAACATTTTAGTTCGGCTCATTTTGTGTTCAGTTTAGCTAAAGTGCTGCAAATATTTACAAATTCAAAAAGTTTAGACCTTTATCTGTTGCCATGGAGATAGCGTTCCTGTATTTTATATTGGCACAGCATAGAGCAACTTGCTGCTGTCTTGCAATACCTTTATATTACTAATGCTTTTCAGACTTGCTTGGTGATCCCATACTCTTCATATATTTAAATCTGTGTCAGACCAGCCATTAACGCTGGTTCCTCTTGATTTACTATGTTTCAGTATATTTGTTGAAGATCTGGTACTGTAGTTTCTTTCTGCTATGTTTTGAAACGGTATGTTCCTGGGATTCTCTGACATGTCTCTCTCCTGTTCTGACTCAGCAACTGTCACGGGACAGTCCCATTTCCTGAGTAGGGATCTCCTGTGGTCCTTGTCTCCCCACTGCACACCTGTGCTGTGCTCATGCCTGAAGGCCATTCCATAGAGCAGGTCTTGGGAGGCCTGGGCATCTTAGCTGCTTTTTTGAGAAGCCTCTTAGGTGGCTCAGGAGACAAGAAAAGAATCATTTAGACCATCTGAATAGGTGAACCAGTGTCTTGACGTCTTGCTTTGTTAAATTAATGTAAAGAAGTGAGCTGAGAGTTGAGAGAAGTGCTGCATGGCCTCTGGTGGTGTACTGTAGGTATGGAGGTTGCACTGTTGACATACGGACGGCTATTCTTTTGGTTGTGTTGTGATCCGAGACAATGCCTCTGTTTCCTTTTGTTATATGTCGAACATATCGAACTTCCAGAAAATTTTATTTTTTTGTGCCTGGTGCTGTCAACATATGTATTCAGCATTTTTGTAGTAACATAACAAACCCGTCAGTGGTTTGAATGTTTTTCATCATAGCTTTTTTTTTTTAAATGAGACCTTTCCTGGCAGTCACTATAGATCATCCCCCATGTGTGCTTATACTGTTCACATTATTTTTTTTAATCTAGCACAATCATTTAGCTTAATCCGTATATTTGCAAAGACAAATAAGGTTTGGAAATCAGTAATCCCATCTGACGTAAAATGAATTTATGTTCTAATTTGGTTATCTGCGTTTAGCCTAGAAATGTTCACTTCAAATAAATGTTCTAGTTTGCTAGGAATTGTTTAGATCACAATATTTTATTTGTGTCATGTATGGATATGATTGGTGAGGTCAGCTCTTTGTCTTGCAGAGCCCTGCTCCAGCTTGTTTGTTTGGTAACTCTTAAAATATCAAACAGCTGGAGCAATTTCATATTAACCGCATATGCAGGTGATTACAGAGATTGGGCAAAACTTGTAGTGTCCAGATGTGCAAAGCTGACGGAGATTTATGATTGTAATGTCTCCCAAAGGTGCATGTACCAAATATTGACTCAAGGAGGCTGAATACAATCAGTTATATTCTGTTTTATATTTAATTTAGGAGGAGGTGTAGAATTTTGCTTTCACTTTGACATTAGGAAGTGCTCTGTGTTGAACAATGGTAAAAACTCAAATTAAATATGTTCCATTTTGGAACATGGGGTGGTGCAGTGGCTCTGTGGCTAAGGATCCGTGCCTGTGGTTGGAAGGTTTTCATTTTAATATCCCACGGCTGGCAGAGGAATCCTACTCTGTTGGGCCCCTGAGCAAGGCCCTTAAACCCAACTGCTCCAGGGGCACTGTACAGTATGAATGGCCGACCCTGCGCTCTGAACCCAAGCTTCTCTCCCTGTCTGTGTGTCTCATGGAGACCAAGTTGGAGTATGTGAAAAGACAAATTCCTGATACAAGAAATTGTATATGGCCAATAAAATGATCTTATCCTACAATGAAATGTGAAAAGGTCCAAGGAGGGTGAATACTTTAGATAGCCACTGTAGGTACAGTAGTGCAGATATTATTTGAAATGTACAGTATATATCAGCACACTGCAGCTCTCAAGAACCAGAGTTGGGCATTTCTGACATTAAATCAATTAACGTTACTTAATTAAACTAACTTTACTAAATTGATCAAAACTTATGTGTGTTTCAAGACTTTATAAACTGGTCTGTAAGAGCGGCATTGTGGCTTTCAAATTCAAATACCAGGGTTGGCCAGTCCCTGGGATGTGAAATTGCCTTGGATGTGGCAATACCTGTAACTTTTGCACAGCCAGTACTCTGAATATATACAGCACATAACAGCAGAGAAGGAGTTTGAGCAAGCTGGCTACTGGGAGAAGGTCCAGACGTTATGGTCTTCACACAGGAGGTGCAGATGTTTTACATGCAGAGGACTAAGTATAATCTTCAGTTTCCTTATTTAGCACCTTACGTCAGCAAAGCTATGTGGAAAATCTGTGTTGTCTGCTGGATCAATATCATTGCCATAGGACAGACTTCATCTGATCCACTTTAACAAAGTAAAATAAAAAGACAGCTGATTGTCTAAACCGAAGCAGCTTTAAGAGCACCTGGTTCAGTATGACAGAAATAAAGAAATGTCATGTACAATAATCTGTTGCAAGATATACTGTATGTTAAAGTACAGTACATTGACTGTAATTAAGGTTCTGTTGTTAAACATTTTGGCTTAATTATATTTAGATGTATTAATGCCTGATTTTAATTTTTGTTGTCCTCCACACCATTAACCAAATTACTTGGTAGTTCAGTTGTAGTCAGCTGTTGGAAATTGCAGTCTTGAAAGGCTCAACATCATGACTTGCATTCCTTTGGCCAATATAAAGTACCTGCTCTCTTTTGTGTAATGGCCTGTCTTCGGTTTTCAATAGAAAATGATGCAAGTAATGCTGTGGTTCATCCATTTGAATACTAGCAAATCTTTCCACCTGATGGCTGAGTGTGTAACTGCCTATTGAGGGAAACCCCTTCACTGTATTGGCTCTTATTCAGTCTCTGGTTCTTATCTTCTGCAGCTGGACAGGGGAGTAGGTAGACTACAGTACTTCAAGCTCTGATGCAATCTCATGTACAGTATATACAGTAGTTGACCTTTCTATTTTAAATATCTTGGGTGATAATCTGTTGTATGATGGCATGAGC